GGGAATATTAGCAAACCAAACAATACTTAGAGCTCTATTCTCTTCAAAGCCGAAAGAACAAACTCCTAAGCAGGAAGAGATGAGAAACACACCGCGAGCCGGAGGTCAGCAATGTAACTGGTGACCGTTGGGTACACAGCGTCTGGCCTTGTCACCCCTGGGTCACATAGCTGGTCAGGATCACAGGAACTGGGCCTTGGTGGACGCCACCCAGCCTGGAGTACAGAGTTAGTTCTGTTCAGCAAACAGATTTGTATTTGTGTGATAAAGAGACAGACCTTCGAGTGTGAACTGAGGCGTGGGGAGCAGGTGAGGAAACCCCAGGGACCAGGAGAGGAGGGAGGGAAGCCCTGACTTCCTGGGACTCAGGGCTCTGTGCTGCCTCTGCTTTTGACTTTGCTTCAGACAGAATTTCGAGGGGCTGCTCGTGCATGGCGGATGGGGACCATGACGGGGTGGGGGGAAAAAAGTGAGCATCTCCCCCTCCTTGCCTCACCTGTCCATCCCTCTCTGTCCCTTCTAGAGAACCTTCAAGGGCAGGCGACCATTGCCGACCCCGTTTCCTATTTTCAGGGGACTTTTCACCTTCCCTGTGTCGCCGTGCACCTTCTGTGGCGTCCTGGAGGCTCGTCACGCAGGAGAGGCTGATCGGTCTCCCAGGCGCCTTCGTGTTCACCCTCGGAAACAAGGCTTTGAAATCGCTGGCCGTGAAGCCTCAGGCTTGGCCAAGCCCACCCCTCAGCCAGCCCCCAGTTTACATGAGCTCGTCACCCCGAAGCTCCCAAGGGATGGGGGGCCACGTGGATAGGGAGCCCATTGTCCGGGGAGGGAGGACCCCGAGCCCAGCACAGGCTGGGGCCGCATCTCTCCCTCCTTTTCAAGGCCCTGCGTGGACAGCGGCTGGCAGTGAGTGGCTGGGGTCGGAATGGGAAGGGCTGAATGTGAGCCCACAGGGCAGCAGAGAGAGCGAGTGAGCTGAGATCACTGAAGTCCATTCCGAAGGGACTCGTTTCTGGAAGACTTCCGACAGAGTCGGAGCTCTAGCTTGGAGCGTCTCACCTCCCCTGTGTCGGGAACTCGGCCGGGATCACCTTGACTCGGTTTCCCACAAAACGTCGGGAGTGCCTCATGCTACGGGCCCGAGCGCAGGGTGCGGCTCTCCGCTGTCAGGGCGGTGTGGAGGTGGCTGAGAGAGGTGTTGAGAGTATTTTCCAGGAGTGGCTGGGAAGACTCTGGCTGGCCTTGCTCACCTAGGTGCTCCCCTAATCGGGGAGGGGCCGGGAGTTAGGGGTTCTCCTCACGTCCACGCACAGCACAGCAGGCGAGCTCCCGTGTGCTCTGTGTGTGCAGAGGGAAGGAAGGAAGGCCCCCGACCCCCGGACCTTCTCTGGAATTGCCTGCAAACAGGATCATGGAGTCGTCCATCCTCACCTATCCTGTGGAGAGTCATAGGCACAGTTGCGGCAACCATCGCAGACTGCTGTATTCTGCATATTCATCGACCCACAGATATTTGATTAAAAGAAAGGAAGCAGACTTGCCTTCTGGATACAATTAAACCCAGTAGATATGAAGATTCTGCAGCTGGGCAGGAAAATGAGGAAATACGTTGAAAAGAACACACATGGCTTATGTGAATGGACTGAAACTCAAAGAGACCAGATCTCAGGTCACATATCACCTCTTCCAGGAAGCCCTCCCTGACCTCCCCAGGGCCGACTGAGGTCTTGCTCCTGTGAGCTGTCCTCAAGCCCTGCACCGAAGGTGACATCCCCCGGGCTGTCCCTCGTGTGTTGTCTCTGTCCTTGGACAGACTCTAGCAGAAAGAGGGCCTCGAGGGCAGACCAAGCCTACCCTACAGTGGGTGTGCAGTCAATATCTGTTGTCACAGAACACACGCCCAATACAAGCTGACTGCTCTGTGGGGGCGAGGGTGAGCAGAGGCCTCCGAGTCAGGAAACTGAGGGCTTTATGTTTTCCCCACAAAGAAGGTGGGTTCCCCCAAGGCCCCCGGACTAATTCCAGGCTTCCTGTGCTCGCTCGCCTTATCTCGATGGAGACAGTCATTTGTTTCACATCTTTCATAGGAGCTGAGGCCACTGCAGCCGGTGGAGGAGAACTGTGCGGGGGTGGGGATGTGTGATTACAATCCATTAAGGCTAAGCTGTGATTTCTAAAGCTCTTTTCATTTGTGACAGGAGCCAAACACCCCTACCCCAATTTCCTCCCCCCAGAGGAAGCAGCATGCTACTCTTAGGAAAATGATTTTTTTTTTAAATTATGTTATTTTAAGGAGAAGCATAACTGAAAATGTGTATTGAGCAGAACGGAACACTCCGGCTGGCACACGAAAAAACAGGACTTTCGAAAAAGACAAGCAAGACTCCACGTGGGAGCCTAATGTTTCCAGCCTGGTTTCCCAGCTGCACTGGCTCTTTCTCGGCCATTTCAAGAGCAGCCCAGCTCCTGAGCCCTGGCTTACCTGCCCCCTCCCCCACCTCTACATGATCTCGATGCCGGTCCCCAGGGGACACAGCTTGTTCCTGCTGGTCCCCTTGGGCTGGCGCTGTGCTCAGAGCCTCCCAGTGGCCAGTGCCCCAAGAGCCAGTCACACTGCCCCCTCCATGCTGGTCCCTCCGACATCCGGAGATGGCTCTAGTTTGTCATCAGACCACCAGGCAGAGTCCCCTGCCGCCAGTGTCAGTCGCTGTTTGGCAACAACTTTGTAGGAGAAGGTGCCAGGGGTGCAGAAGAGCCTCAGGCAAGCTGATTAATCCTCATCTGTGTGGTGAGGGCAGCCCTGCCCTAGGAAGTGCCGGGAGCATGAGAACCCGGATGTTTCCTCTCCACGGGGCAGATGTCTGATGGGCAGACTTAAGACAGCCTCCAAGAGAACCTCCACATCTCCACCAAGAACTGTGCGTGTTCCCCACCTGCAGGAAAGGCATCAGTGTCTGCCCCCGTCACCTCCCTGGTGACCCCTGCACTGGGGGCTCCGCCCTCACACGCTGTCTCCACACACACACACACCCCTGCACTGGACGAGATGCCCCCCACCCCCATCTAGGGATGCAGGTGCCCCGTGACCCAGCCCCACTCTCAGCAGCCTGTACACACACACACACTCTGGGCCACTCTGCGCGGGACACACACATACACTCTGGGCCACTCTGCGCGGGACACACACACACACACACTCTGGGCCACTCTGCGCGGGACACACACACACACTCTGGGCCACTCTGCGCGGGACACACATACACACACACACACACACACACTCTCGGCCACTCTGCGCGGGACAGTGGAGTTGGTCGAGATGCCCCCCACCCCCATCTAGGGATGCAGGTGCCCCGTGACCCAGCCCCACCCTCAGCAGCCTGTCCACACACACACACACACACACACACACACACACACTCTCTGGGCCACTCTGCGCGGGACAGTGGAGTTGGTCGTGGCTCTCCGTTACTTCTCTCGTGGGAATCTCTTCCCTGAGCAGTCACTCCCAGGTCACGCATCCTGTCACCCTGTTTGATTCTCTGAGTCGCAGCCGTCAGGGTCACTGCATTGCACGCTCCCCACCCACTGGACTCCTTGCTGGCTGCTGCCTCTCTGGCATCCAGGGTCGTTCCCAGTGGGTGACAGGCACCATCCTTTCTTTGCCAGCAGATTCAACAAATAGAAGCTGCTGCTTCTACTGTTCACATTGGAGAGTGTTCGCATGAACTAAGATGTATATGTGCTAGTTAAGATAGAGTCAGAATGGACGGGGGGACTTGACAGCCTGCCCAGACCATGCTGGCCTCTTAGTAGGCACTCGGGGAACACGTCCTGTGTGCGGAGAGGAGGAATGAACCTGAACTGTCTTCTCAGGAGTGGCTGCAGCCCCCTCGGGAGACGAAGCCCCAGTGCAGCGGGGGAACCAGGGTGAAAATCAGACAGGCTCCTGCCAAGTTCCTCCTTCACCTCTTGTTAGAGAACTTAGCGTCATCTGATTTGTTTGCTTCATGAGGATTATGTGTTATTTTATTCGCAAGTGTCCAACTTTTGTGACTCTGTGTGCTGTAGTCCACCAGGCACTTCTGTCCATGGGATTTCCCAGTCAAGAATCCTGTAGTGGGTTGCCATTTCCTTCTCCAGGAGATCTTCCCAACCCAGGGATTGAACCCAGGTCTCCCACATTGCAGACAGATTCTGAGCCACCTGAGAGCCATCATGAGTATTATAAAATCTGCCTAAAGTCCTGCAGTCACATTAAGTCAGGTGACAGAGTGTCTGTTAGTAGGAGGTGCTCAGTAACTGGTAGCCTTCACCCCAGGGTGTTTTAGGGAAGACCCAGCTCCAGAGAAGAGATGCTCAGGTGTTCACCTGTCCTAAAAAACTGCAAATGACAGGCAGGTGACTGCCCAGCGATGAGGACCGTGTACCCCTGCGCCCCGTCTGTGGTGCCCACCCCCCACATCTCCCAGGCTGCCTAGGGCACTCCGGTTCTGTTGGTGGTGCCCAGTAGGGAGCTTCCAGGAGGGTCCTTCCAGCTCTCACCCAAGCCCCTCACTCGCAAGCCAGCTGGCGGAAGGAGAGAGAAAAGCGCAGCGCAGCGTTCTCACCGGGACAGTGCTGCCCTTGATCATGTCCTTCCTTGTCGTGGTGTGGGCACGTGGCGGGGCGGGGGGTGCGGGCAGGAGCCGCAGGTGCTCAGCCCCGTGGGAACCCAGGTGCCCAGCCTCCCGCCCCAGCGGTGAGGACGTGAGATGCAGGAGAGGATTCAGCGCCCCAGCCCGTCTCCTCCATCTCCATCTCGGCCTCTGAGCAGAGGACCTGGGTGAGGCTGGGGATGCGGTGGGAGGGGGCGCAGCGGGAGGCTGGGGATGCGGTGGGAGGGGGCGCAGCGCTTAGGCTGGGCCTCCGCCGTCGGGGGTGCGGAAGGGATGCCTGTGTAAACCTCTGACCACAGCCTGTCTTGCTTCCCCGTCTCCCCCGCCTACCCCTCCATGCAGGGGCCTGTCTTCTGGGAGGAATCCTCTACTCCTGGCAGTTCCCTCACTTCAACGCGCTGAGCTGGGGCCTCCGTGAGGACTACTCCCGGGGCGGCTACTGCATGATGTCCGTCACCCACCCGGCCCTGTGCCGGCGCGTCGCCCTGCGCCACTGCCTGGCATTGCTCGCCATGTGTGCCGCAGCGCCCGCCCTGGACGTCACCACTTGGACCTTCCCGGTCATCGCCCTGCCCATCAACCTGTACATCTCCTACCTCGGCTTCCGGTTCTACCGGGACGCGGACCGGAAGAGCTCCCGGAAGCTGTTCTTCTGCAGCCTCTGGCACCTGCCGCTGCTCCTACTGCTGATGCTCACCTGCAAGCGGCGGGTCAGGGAGGAGGGCGCGGGGGCGCCGCGGAGCTGACGGCCGCCCACTCTGGGAAAATAAGAAGACGTCCAGGGAGACGCGCAGGGTTTTCATTTTTTTTTTTTTTTCCACTCTGCTGTTAGGCGACAAATATTTTGGTTATTCCAAAGCACCAGGAGCAAAATAGCTGCGTTTGAAACGAGGCTGTAAAATAATTTGGTGCTCAGTGACCACTGGACAACTTTCTTCATGGTGATATCCAAAATGTTCCCCAAATGAGAATCGGGGTGGCTCTGTAGATTGACACAAGAAGAGGATGGGGTCTTTGCTTGCTTGCTTGTTTTCCTTTGAGGGTTGTTACAGAGGCCTTCCTCCGACCACCACTTGGTTCGTCTTCTCCCTCAGGTCGAAGTGCAGGTTCACCTTGCTTCTCCGAGCTCCCCACCTGCCGGCTGGGGAGGCCAGACGAGGTACTCACTCGCACGCTGGTATCTGTGGTTCCGTGGCCTCTGGTCCCTCACAGACTGCGTCAGAGTAAATGCAGCTGCCGGCCGCAGCCCGCCTGCTGTGAATGAGCCGGGCCCAGCTCCCTCTGCCCCGCACGTTCTCAGCCTCATGCCCCCTCAAATGCTAATAGGACTCCAAGTACTGGCTGCTGCCCACCTTCTCAGGGAGGATTCAAACGGTTGCCTGGGAATCTCAGACTGGCCCTTGTCCCCATCCTGTTAGGTGGTAGCATTTCAGAAACTCCAGGGAACCGAGGGCATCTTTGACATCCACTGTACCACACAGGTGGTGTCAGAGCGGTTCTTTCTAGAAGGGGCATTCTAGACTTAAAGCCAGAAGCCCCTCCAACTCTGATCCACCTCTCCTTCAACCACTGCAGCAGGCATGAGCTGGGCCAGCCAGCCGTCATAGCTTTCCTTGTTCCTTTGGTGAAAAACACATTTCCACCCTGCTGTCTTCAGGACTCAGAAATTATCCTCCACACAGCCAGCGACTTGGAGAGCCAGAAGCAAGAGCCAGACCTCTGGTGGGGATGATTCTGCCCCCCCCCCCCAAGGGGTGCACAGGTCCCCGCAGGCAGGGGTGGCCTCTGACACCAGCGGTTCCCCCAGCCCCCCAAGTCTGCCTCATTATCCAGTTACCGGACGTCCCATTTGCCCTAAGACCTTGAAGCTTAACAGGATGTTTTAGTTACCTTGTCTCCGGGGCACTGCTGCCCTGGAAAGAATTTATTTGGGACTTTAAGCCACATTCAAACAACCCTGGCAACATGTCCCTTCTCTGAAAACTGCCCAAAGCAATTGGAGGTAGCATCTGATTTTCGACAGCACTTACTCAGCTGTGTTCAGATTGCGCTGCGAGAACTGACAAAGTTGTGTCTGGCTGGCGGTCCCCAGCCCGCCGATCTGTAAGGCGCGTGGGTTCTCTCTGCTGCAATAAAACTGCACCGTGAGCCGCAGTGTGTGTGGCGTCATTCCACTCTGTCTGCGGCTCCTGGCAGAACGGGAGACACTTGCCTGGCTGTCACTCGCGGCTATGGGACCGGCAGGCGCGGGGGTGGAAAGGAGCAGCCGGCGTACCTGAGGGGAGCCTCTGCCCCCAACTCTCTGCTCAGAGTCACCCAGTCTCCCTTCCATCGCCCTGGAAGTGGGCCTGGGGGCCTCCCTGACCTCCTGACCTGTTGTTCTCCTGCTCGGAATATACAGTTCCTGCTGCATGGTCTGCACAACGAACAGGGCCCCTGCCCCTTGGTGCTCAGGCCCCAGGACGAGAGAGAACCTTCCGCATGAACCCTTCACCTCCCCGCCCTTGTCACTCTCACACCTCCCTAGGGCCACCCTCCGAGGACCACCTTCCCAAACCCTGTCCCCTGGTCCTCACGGGAATGTGGAATTCACGCTCCCAAGAGCCCAGACCGCTGCTCGCTCATCCAGGCCTCTGGACATCCTGGTGCTTCACCTGCAGAGCCAGGGTACTGGCCCTGACTGCTGACCGCCAGCTCTTGCCAAGCAGATGAAGCCCGGGCACCCGAGCATCCTCCCGGCAGGTCTCTGGGTAAGCCTGCCGTCCATTCTGGGGCGGCATGACCACATGCAGACGGTCTCCTGAGACTCAAGGCTAAAGACAGGAAGGTCTGAGTTTGCTCACCCCAGTGTTTCCCTGCCCATGTCGGGAGCCCAGCCTGGGATGCACAGTCTGGACGTGAGTGTCACTCAGCCGTAAGGCCATCCAGCCCCCGGGCTGCCAGGGCAGAGGAGGAGGAGCCTGAGCTTCGACACAGGATTGCACTTGAACTTGGGTAATTTCATGATACAGCAAACTAATGACAAGCGAAAGGGTCGTTCCAATTCCCTATTTAGTTTTTTAAAAAACACAACTCAACACAATATTCCTTCTGACTCGGAAAATTGTACCAGCTTCCTTTGAGTAAAAACACTGTATCCATTATGAATGAAACCTAATTGTACCCAAGGTCCCTCTCGGTGGGCCCACAGTGAGGCTGCCTGTTCCCACAGTTGGTTTGTCTTTTCAAACAGAAAAATGGGATGCGTCTTGCCCAATACAAGTATCTTCACTGCACTTTAAATACATTTTGAGTGCCCCAGGCCCTGATGCTGGAGGAGAAATACAAGGCTGTTGGAGACTGCTTTGCTCTGAGGATCTGTGGAGTTGAATTTCACTCTGACGGTTTATTTTTCTGTCAATCCATCCTCATCTGCTGTTTGTTTTGCTAAGAAAATAGCTTGGGACTCAGGGCTTCCCAGGTAGCACAGTGGTAAGAAATCTGCCTGTAATGCAGGAGAGATAAGAGATACAGGTTCCATCCCTGGGTTGGGAAAATCCCCTGGAGGTAGGAAATGTCAGCCCACTCCAGTATTCTTCCCTGGGAAATCCCATGGACAGAGGAGCTGGTGGGCTCCATGGGGTCGCAAAGAGTCAGGCATAACTGAGCACGCATGCACACCCAGCACTCCTGAGCCCCATGCAATGCCAGGGCCTGAGCAGAGCTTGTTCTGCTTGCTGACTTCAGTGTGATGGGAGACTCACACCTCCGAGTTTAGTGAGAGCTGGAGACTCTGTCCTCTGACACCCACCCACCCCTCCTGGACACACTCAGTAGGACCCTTGTAACTGCCCGCAGGAGGAACTCGGGGAGAAAGGGCTTAGGGAAACGTCCACTTGGCCTTTCTAACAGCATGCTCAGAGCCCAAGAGAATGCACTTGACTTAAGAAGTAGGTCAGAGTGCTGCCGCCTTGGTGTTTTCTCTGCCATGATCGGCCAGCTAGTGATCCCCCACAATGCACCTCATCTGTCAAGGGCACACTTTCTCCATCCGTCTTGTAGGATCGATGGTGACAACCAACAGGCAGCTAAATGCAAAGCAAGTGGAAGACAAACAGGGTCCAGCGATTGCCTTCAGCTTTGCCACACATGCTTTTGGTCTTCTCCCATCAACTGTCAAACATTTTAAATAAGTTTATAAACTGCCTAGAGGAAAAGTTAAGTGGGAGCAGTATACTTTTGCTGCTTTTTTTTTTTTTTGGCTTCTTAGTTACCCAACCGGGAATCCAACACACACCCCTTTGCAGTAGAAGTGCAGAGTCCTAACCACTAAACCATGAGGGAAGGCCCTACTTGCTTCTTTTTTGTTGAAAACCCACGCATAATTGACCTCATGCTGGACAGATTACAATTTCCAACCAAATGTAAGAGGTAAAGAGGTGTTCTGGATCAAAGAACCTCCGACACTTGCTTCCTAGTTCAGGTTCCGTCACTCTGTTGCTGGTCCCCACTGTGCACATTACAGGACATCTAGGAGGCCCAACGTCCAGCCACAGCTTGAGCCCCCTGTAAACATTCTTCATGTCTGACCTGCCCTCACTTCCTCCACTGCCCCCGTCATGACCTCCTAATTTCTCTCTCCCTTGTCCCCACGCTGAGTCGTCCACGTAGCAGCCATTGTGATCCTGCCAAGGTCCCGGGCAGATCACAGCACGGCCCCTCTTCTCCATCCCCCGAGGGCTTCTCTCCACTCCATGAATAAAATGCAGAATCTCTACAGGGCCTGTGACGCCCTCCATGATCTGGCCCTGCTCCCCGCTCTGATCTTAGAACCATCTCCCCCCTGCCCCCACGCCCCCCACACCATCCTGCCCATTTCTCCACAATTCTCAAATGCCGGAAGCCTCTCGTTCCCTCTTCCTGGGCTCCTCTCCCACCCCTCCCTCTGGATCACCCCCTAGCCTCACTGAAATGGCTGTAAGGCGCTCTGTGCCCATCTCTGTATTTATCTCATGACTAGTTCATTATCTGTCTCTCTAGAGCATTAGCCCTGTGGAGGCAGGGCCGTCATCTCCGCAGCACTTTCTCCAGTATCTCAAGTGATTCTCAACCCAGACTACATGCTCAGGAAATGCTTTCTTTTTTTTCTTGTTATAAGCACATTATTTGTTTTCTCTTAAATGTTTTATTTTGTATTGGGGTATAGCTGATTAACAATGTTGTGATAGTTTCAGGTGGATATCAAAAGGACTTAGCCATACATATACATGTATCCACTCTCCCCCAAACTCCCCTCCCATCCAGGCTGCCACATAACATTAAGCAGAGTTCCCTGTGCTATATAGTAGGTCCCTGTTGGTTCTTTATTTTAAATATAGCAGAGTGTACATGTCCATCCCAAACCCCCTAACTATCCTTTCCCCCATCCTTCCCCGCTGCTGGCAACCATAAACTCATTCTCTAAGTCTGTGAGTCTCCTTTTGTTTGTAAGTTCATTTGTATAATTTCTTTTTCGATTCCACATATAAAGGATGTCATAATGATAGTTCTCCTTCTCTGTCCAACTTATTTCCCTCAGTATGATAATCTCTAGGTTCGTCCATGTTCCTGCAAACGGCATTATTTCATTGTCTTTAATGGCTGAGTAATATTCCATTATGTCTACCATTCCTGCGGTGTCTCCTGGAGCGTCTGTCAGCATGTAGCCGGCAGGTGTCACTCACCGGTCCGCTCACGGTTTCCCCACCTGCCCTCCCCGCGACCATCAGATCCCAAGCTCAGTGAGGAAAACCTGTCAGCTTCTCATGGCTGGGTCCACCCGCACCTGGAATGGAAGGGACTCAGCAGCGACCACATGCTGGTGCCTCTTCAGTGAGCAAAGGAGCCAGCGGGTGGCTTCAGGGAAGGGGCCGGAGCTGGAGGAACACTTGTCTCTGCGCCACTGGGACCAACACGAGGTGGGGGCGTGGGGTACAGGCCCTGTGAGACTGAGTCCAGGGCAGATACAGCTCTCGCTGTTTCAGGAAGAAAATGGCCAGAGTCCAGCCAAGATGAGTCACTATCATTCCTTCCTTAAGTTACTCAGTCTTTGTTCTCCAAAGTGCAGTATATGTTCACTCTTTCCTGTATCTGCAGGGCTGTCTTGGCCCAGCAACTTAGCAGCAAGGTGTTCTTAGTCAAGTTGGCTTCTTGGCCACAATTTCTCTCTCTCTCTCTGTTTGCTCTTTCAGACACATTCACAGAGACTCTAGTGTCTGGCTCCATCTTCTCCCTTCATCATCACCCACTTCCAGCAGGTGAGAGCCAACATGTGCATCCAGGTCAGCTTAAAGAAACGAGACCCCCAGCCTGGCTCATAAGTTGGAGGTGCTGACTAGGAAGTGGAAAACGAAAGAAGGAGGACCCCAAGTGCAACACAGCAGGTCGGCTAGACTGGGGGGTTAAGATGGCGCATCAGGGTCTCGGTAGAAGCCTCAGCAGACGGCTGGCTCTACCCACGGCTCCTCTCTCTAAAGCCAAGTCCAGAACAGAGCCGCAGAGTCTGTTCAGGGCGGAGCTGGGGGGTGGGGGAAGCGGAGGTCGAGACAGGAAACTCTGAAGGGGGCTGAGAGGAGTGCCTGGCAGAGTAACCCCATCCCAAACATCTAAAGAAGGGCCAGGTGACAAGACAAACAATTCCCAGAGCATTAGCAGGCGAACACAAACAAGCCCCCACCCCAGCTTCAACAAACAGACAAACACAAATCAAACAAAGCATCCTCGAGGGAAGAAGCCTGCCCTTCTCGTCCACTGAGCAAGTGACCACCCAGGTGCCATGAGCTGGGCCTGGTGTGGGACAAAGGGGCAAACCCAGCCTCAGCCCCGACCCCAGGAGCTTATGCTCTGGAGAGTTCTGGACCAAGAGGGGTTGGGGATTGTGGCAGAAGCAGGAAGTACACAGACAGGCCATTCCTGCTTCTGCCCTGGAGTCCTCAGGTTCTAGGTTCTTTGGCCAAATAACTAATTGGCCATAAGGCAACTCTGCTAGAAAAATAAAAGCGGGACTTTAAAAAGGACACAATGAGAAATGAATAACAAAATTAGACTATTGCAAAATCAAAATACCTGAATACATTTAAAAGATCTGTAGGGAATTCCCTGGCAGCCCAGTGGTTAGTTTTTGGCATTTT